TTCATCTTATTATGATGTCTTGATCACTTAAGCTTTAGCTTTTTAAAAAAATATACTTAATGTAAAAGATATTTACTAAGTAAAACGTGCTTTTATAAATGTATACTTTAATTATATCGTTAAACAAAAGTGTTAAATATATAAACCAACTACAGAAAAATTTTAACTAATTGTAATATAAATTAATACAAAAGTTGAATTTTGAAGAGAAAAAAAATTTATTTTTTAGATTTTTTTGATGAGTGTTTTTTTAAGTTACTTTTACTTCCTTTAAAAAAATTTCAAATTTAGTTTTGGTCTTCCATTTTTTTTTATTAAATTAACTTTCTTAAAATAAAATATTTTGAGACTAGTTCTTATTTATACGTTTAGAAGGAGAAACTTTTTGCATGTATTTTAGTAAATAAGGACCGATCGACCTAAACATTTTATTTTCATAGAAACTAATTTAATTAAAAAAAATTGGTGAACTAAAATTGAATTTGAAATTTTTTTAGAGAGACGTAAAGGGAACCCTTTATACCTCTAAATAAATGATTTGTGGTATAATATATATTATTATAATTTATATATAAGAAGAATCAATTATAAATTGACAAATTAAATTTTAAAATTATAAAATATAAATTTTTTAAATTGTATCAATAATCCATTTTTTCTTGAATATGAGTAAAGCATCTAATTAGAGAAAGATACAGAAAGTTTATGGTTTAGAAGTAACGTTTACTTATTTTCTTTTCTAGGTGATATTTAATGTATATGTAATTGTATATTAAGAATTCAAGCCCAAAATTACTGGTGAAAAAGAAATAATTTCATGTTAGATGATTTATTTATTTATTTGAATATATAATTATTTTATTGTATGAAATATTCACCAATTTTACTGATGATTAATTATTATAAAAAAAATCTATTTATTATCCTTCTAGTGAGTTCTTCCCTCCCAATATATTCTTGAAAAAATTTATAAAAATATGTTTAGTTATTATTCAAATTGGTTGACTTATACACTAGGTAAAAATTGGTTGACTTATATACCAAGTAATATAGTATAAAAACTATTTAAATTATTACCACATTAATGACTAGTATTGTAGAAATTGCATTAAAGAGATCATTGATTGACTTTAATGATTTTTTTTATTAATGACTAGCGTATTATTTATGACAAAATGATATAAAAGTAAATTTTTTTATGATACTTTTCGTAAGAAATAAATTAGTAATAGTGCAAAAAAGGACCAAGATAGTATACTAAATTACTGAATAATAAAAAATATTTTTTTCTCAACTATATTATAAAGAGTTGGGAGGGAAATATTTATCTTGTATGTGTTAGACATGATAGATCAACATGATATTCTCAAATTTCTGTCTATGTTAAAATAATATTTAACCAACAAAAATTATACTCCATGAACACAAATTAATCCTCAGTTGTTATATTTAAAATATTGCATGGACCATTCCTGTAGATAAAAAAATCTTATGCTTACTTATGATCCTTGAAAGAGATTATTTGCTTTAAAAATATTAATTCATTAAAAAGTAGAGATAAGATGATCTCAACTTCACAGAATAATAAGATAACTTTCATAAGACTACAAAGTTATTAAACTTTTATAGTAATTTATTATAGTTTCACACGAAATTTGAATAATAACTAAACATATTTTTATAAATTTTTTCAAGAATCCTCTTTTTAAAATCTCATAAAAAAGTAATTTAGTTGGAGATAAGAGTTTTTCGATACCAACCGCAATTTTAAGATTACATCTGACACAAAAAAGTCCAATAAATTAAAATCATATTTGAAATTAAAAGTCAGAAGATAGAAGTACAATCCGGTTACTTCAGGGGAAAAAGAAAGGCACGTTCTGGTAGTACATGCTACTCGGATGGAAAGGCTTTTTTATTTTATTTTATTTTTAATTTTTTTTTATCTATTAAGAATTAAATTTGGTATTAAAAAATTTATAATAACTCAAATAATTTGCTCAATTAACTAAGGGAGACTTTTGGTATAAAGATTGTATCTTTTGTTATTAAAAAGCATATGTATTACTAAAAAATAAGGAAGAAGAGCGCGTATCTTGTATTCTTTATTGTCTTTCACATATTGGCTTTATGCAAAAAGTTCACGAGTTTCTAATATAATCTTTATTTTCTTTTAAAAGATTTTTCAAAATTTAAATTATCAAACTGAATTAAAGTCAATAAATAAATAACATGAAGATCAAAAGTAAATATTTTAATAATCTGTAACGAAGACGGTGTGTTTTGTCTTCACTTTTTATTAGATTATTTTTTTAAAATTTATCTACTGTTTTACTTTTTTTTCCCCTTGTATAAACTATCCTTTACACACATTCTCTCTTTTATTTAATTCTTATTTTAAAAAGATCAATGATCCCCATATCTATAATAAAGGATATAGTTCTTTTTAGTGTCAACTTTTGATTTAACTACGTTACCTTTTAATCATACTTTAAACTACTTAATACTTTATCTTTGACTACGCTCTAAACTACTCCATATACAGTTAAGTCCATTGATTTGAAAATCAGCTTGTCGATATGAAAAATCGACGAATCAGTAAAGTGACGAGTTCAAATACACCACAATATTGGTATATAGAAAAGCCGATAAAAGAACTAAAATGAAATTGGTAAATAATTTTTTATGATAGGTAAACATTAGTATAACCCACAAAAATAACATTTAATGATAATTTTGTAGTGACAAAAATGTAATTGTCATTAAATCAATCATAAAATACATGATTTTGTGATCAATAAATATTAGTTGTTAAAATTTATTATTTATCATTTTATATATGTAATTATTAGTTTAATTAAAAATTTCAACAATTTAGTAAGTCTTTATACCAACTTTCTATATAAATATTGATAATAGTATTAATGTTTTTGGATGCATCAGTTATTATTTAATTGTTGGTAAAAGAAAATAAGAATCATTTATATGATTGTTAAAAGATAAAACAATGGCTGGAGAAAAAAAAAAGAAACTTTGGTGTCAACATCTGAATTTCATACTTCATTATTTGATATATTTCTTAAAAAAAAATTAGCAAAAGATATTTGTCATTTTCTTTTATATCCTAGATGTAAATATTGATGTATATTTTATTTGAACTTTATATATATATATATATATATATAT